TTTGTGAAAAAAAAATGTTTGTTTACGTTACACCTGATCTTGATAAAAATCACGGGAGGGAACAATTTTGTGGGTGCGCTATGCTGAAGATTTTATTATTGTTGTGAAATATGCTACTGAGGGATCGTTGCGTGAAAATCTTTATTCAGTTGAAATTGTAAATCACGACCACTAAAATCAGTTACGTAATCGCTGTTTAAAATCATCTTCCGAAAATTAATGCGAATAGTATATTAGTTACTATACTTGTGCTGAAATTCAAAAGTTTCGACCTTAGTTACGAACTCAATTATGAAAATTTAATAATGAATCGAAAATTAATCAAAATCGAAATTTTGATCGAAAGTTAAAAGTTAGTCTAAATTGTCGAAATTTAAATTAAACTTTTGCCCTTTATTAAATAAATTTGTCATTTTATCAAAATAAAATTTATTATAAAAATTTGTTATCGTCATTCGAATATATATATGTACTATGATATAGACTATAATACGATATAATTAGTTCACTATTTAAATAATATAGTGAAATTGTATAAAATTCAATATTAATTGCATTTATTTTTTACTAATTCATATATACTTAATCATTTGGTTGACCAAATACCTGTTTCATACCAATAGCAATGTCATCTAATGTGGCTAAAAAAGCAATTGGTCATCTTCCTGATGAAATATGGGATAAATTTATAAAAGGAGACAAAGGTTATAAAGGATATTATACTGCAACGTGTAGTTACTGCTTCAAAACATGGACTCCTGGAAAATCTAAGGATCTTAAAAAGCATCTTGCATATGAATATCAAAAGGTTGATTCTGAAACCTGAATTCAGCCATTAACTCTGATGATGAACTGCTAGTTGCTAAATATAATAAAAAAAGAAAATTATGAAGCAATACTCATATTGATACAAATTATGAAAATATTTCTACTTCTTTAAGCAAAGCAGATCAGATTAATAAAATTAGTTCTTGGTTCTAATGTATCATTTGTTCTTATTGAGCATCCTTTTTTTTATGATTTTACTAAAGCTTTACATTCTACTTATTCTTTTTCAAGCCATTGGGTTTTACCTAATACACTTTTTGACCAAGAGCTTGCTCAAATTAATTTAAGAGTTGAGTGAATTATTAAAGATGAAATTAATCTTATTATTACATTTGATGGTTAGACCAAACCTACTGGAGAATCAATTTATGATTATTGTATAATTACTAATAAATGCAAAAATATCTTTGGTGCTCTAAAGATTATTTTAGTATTCTTTATCACACAGACATTTTTCTTGATAATGAACTTATTGAAATTGTTAAAAAGATTGAACCTGAAAAATTAGCTGTAGTAGTATCTGACAATGGATCAAATGTTTGTGTTGCTTAAAAAATTCTTTGCAAAAAATATTCACACATATTGAATCTTCAATATATGCCATATTGTATTAATTTAATTACTGAGGATTTATATAAGTATAAGTTTGTTGTAGAAGTGATTTGTAAAATAGTGTTCTTTATAGATTTTTTTACAAAATCATATGCAGCATATCACTTTTTAGATAATGCAATTAAAGCCTTGCAAATTAAAGGTAGAACTTTAAAAAGTTATACAAAACTCATTGGTCTATAATGTGGAACTGTTTTGATTCAATTGTAAGACTTAAATTCATTTTTATATGAGTATGTATATTAATAAATTAAAGTTTATTTATTAATATAAATAAAAATTTATTAATTTATATATTTTATTTATATGATTCTTTCGAACATGAAGATGATTTTTCAAATCATATTAAAATATTTTAAATAATTCAGAATTTTATAAAAACTGTCACATTATTATATCTATTCTTTATCCTCTTAAAATTTCAGTTAGATGTTTGGAGTCAAGAACTTCAACTCTTGCTGATTGTTATATTTATTTGGTATCATTAGCAAGTACAATTTATTATTTACCAAAGAAAATTTAAAATTTTTTTTTTTTTAAGAGAGGTTTTTTCTCTATTCCTTTATTTCAAAATATATAATTTGGGTACTACTAGTACTAATTTATATATTTAACTAAAGGGAGTAGAAGTTAGGGCTCAGGTTTACCCTCAATCTATTCTTAGCTAGAAAAGTCAAAAAACCTCTAGACTATGTAATTTAAAAGAGAAGATATTGAATTGTGGTAAAAGAATCATTAAGTTATGAGTGAGTTCTTCTATCTACTATACAAAGAAAAGTATTATTTTGAAGAAGTGTAATTATAAATATTAAGTTTGGTATATTTTGTTGCATCTGTATTCGACTTGGTTTCTGAATTTCTTCATGTATATACTTGGTAATTGTGTGATGGTTTTGTGAAATTAAAGTAGTGTTTTGAACAGTGAAATAATATAGTAATTGTTTTTTCTACAGAATTTGAGCCAAACTTGAAGTTTGAGTAATTCAGTAAGTTCTTGTATCGTGTAAGTAAATAAGTTAAGATATTTGTAAATAATAAATTCTATAATTGAGAGTGAATTGCTATATAGTGATGAAGGATTAGAAGAAAAAAATTAATATATATAAGGTTGTAAAGTTAAAACTAGTAGGCAGTAAGCCAGTTTGTGAGTTTTTATTTATAGTGGTAGAGAGTAATTATTTAAAATATTCCAGTAAGGATCTGGTAGGTTAAGAAGGTTGAGAAGGTAAGGATGTATGCTTTAAAAGTTGAAATAATAGTGTAGTTTTGCAATAGTGCTTTCAATCCTTTTGTGTTTAGTAATCAGAATGTGGATTGTATATTAAAGATTTGTTTGTTCTAAATAGGAAATGTGTTTTGAGAGTTGGGATAGAAGTGCGGGTTTGTCTGAGGTATTTGAAGTAATATGAATTTTGATCTATTCACTTAAGATTTGGTAGAAGAAGTAGTATTCTTTCAGAAGTTGAGCAGTGTCAACTAGGGCTTTGGGGCTTCTGATTGGTATTGTTAGATTTACTTTGGTAATGAGGTTATGTTTACTAGAAAGTAGAAATTTATTTGTAGAGTTAATAGTCATATAAGTAAGTAGGAGTAGGATAGTAGATTTATATTTGTCTTGGATTTCTGCTATAAATTCTTTGGCTTGGTAAGTATCAGAAATAGAAAAATTATAAATTGCAGTTATTTTAATAGAGTATAGGTTAGCTAGAAGTGGTTTCTTTTATGCAAAAAAATTGTTAAGAATGTGTCAAAAGCAGTAGTGTTCTTTAAGGATATCAACATATCTACAAAATTCTGAAGTATTGGTTTAATTACAAGGAAATAAATAATAAATAGCTAAGGTAAATTTTGGGGAGATAATAGGAGCTAGGATTTTGCTTCTGGTAAGTTGAAGTAATTAGAGAGTATCCTGTCTATAGTGTAATACTTTATTAATTTTGAGCAATATTTTAAGAAAAATAACAGTCTAGCCCATTCAATAATTGAAAAGAGGTCTCAGATTTCAATATAGAGATTAGCAGGATTGTCTGGAAGTAGTTCAAGAATAGTGAGAAAGTAGCTATTGGAAAGTTTTTCAAAGGTAAAAATTTTTCATAGAGCTAGTACAGCTACTCAAGTAAATTTGCAGTCTTGAATTGATAGTGAAAAAGAAAGCTAAGAGTGCAGTTTATCTGTGCAAAATTAAGACAATAGGTAATTATTTAAATACAATTATGTAGGCTATTGGTAAGGAAGTTTATATTGTATATAAAGTCTATAGCTAATTTGGTTTTGAGTTTTGTGAAAATTTAATCTCTGTTGAATTTGTTTATAAAGCAAACATTATATAGTCTTTTGTATTTTTCTACTGATATTCGTAAAAATAAGTTGAACTCTTTTTGATATTGTGGTCAGATTTCTTTGTTTTTTGTAAATAATCAAAAAAAAGTTGAGTCCAATTATTCAAATTTTGTTTTAATTGTATTCAGTAGATTGTATTGAGTTGGATTAGTTTAAATTTTGTATAGAAAGAATTTTAAGAGTACTATAAAGATGAAAAGGCATTGATGATTATTTTGTTGTTTCAAACTGTTGTATCAAAATTTTGTATATGTGCTTTTGCTAAAGTAATAGTGCCAGAGTTACACCAAGTAAGTAAACAGTCATCTTTAGTGTATTTCTTTTTTGGGAGACTGGAGATAAGTGCACTACTATATGACTTCTTTGGAGATGTGAGTAATTTGATTGTTGTATTAGATTGAGTATCTATATGATCGTCTATTTTTTTTTTAATTAAATTTGTTGTACAATGTTATTATGAGTTAATAGTTGTTGGTCTGAGTTCTAGAAATTGTCTTGGGTGAGGTCTGAAAATGAATTGGGTGTGTTGCGATGATTGGTTATCATACTTATAGCATAGAAACTTAAAGTATTTACATTGTTTCTCACGCTTGTTTGTTTGTTTAGATTATTTCTCATACTACTTTGTTTATTTGAATTATCTTCTAAACTTGTTTATTTGTTTTGATCAGATGATATCATTAATGTTTTTGACAGAGATTTGCTAAAGTCCTCACTTTGAGCTAAATTTTTTGTTGTAATATATAGTGAAATATTAATAGTATAAGTAGTAGTGTAAGAAGTGATGTTGATTTTGTCTTTATTTTTAGATATTGTCTTTTTCTTTTTTAGTAGTGAAGGGTTGTCTAGTGTGGTGAGATTTTTTTTATGAGTTGGTTGTCTGAGGTTCTAAAGGGATCTATTAAAAGAGAGTTAAGGGATGTTAAAGAGATAAAGAAGAGTTTAAAGGCTTCAGAGGTAGAAAGTAATAAGTTTCTGTCTCTTTTTAGCTTTGTGTAGATACTGTTTAGATCTATTATACAATGTTTAGAGAGCTTTAAGAGCTAAAATTATATAAACTATCATATTCTTTTACTCAAAATTGTTTTTTTCTCAAATTTTTTGTTGTTTTGATAATCTAAAAAAAAAAGTTTTTAAGATGACTAGAAAAATTTAAAATTTAAAATTATTATATTGAAAAATATAATAAACATTAAAATAAATTTTCAAATAATACATATCTTTTAGCACTTTTTTTATATCCTGGATATCATAGTAAATATAATATATATATTAATATATATTGTATAAATATAATTTATTAATATATATATATTAATTTTAAGCAATGGTATTGATCTTGGAAAATTTTATAATATAAGTATAAAAGCTAGTCAAATTTAGAAAGATATGGAATATGATAATATATCATATAAAAAAATACTTTCTAAATTATAAAAATATAAAACCAAAAGACCACCTTTTAACCTATTATATAATTTTAAATTAGATACAGCTGAAATTTGATAAAAAACAACACAAAAGTCAAAAGAGAATTAGGAATTACAAGCATTAGCACTTTGAATCTTTGCTATAACTCTATATAGTACTTCATGTGAATAATCTTTTTCTGTTTTTGGTTAGTTTTATAGACAAAGATATACCAGATTATTATTAGAATATGTAAAAGAAATGTGCAAATTGCATACTTTTTATATTACAAATGCACAACAAGAATTGCCATATTATGCAAAAGATACCACAAAAACTTTACTACATAATCAAATAATAGATTTTATGAAAGCAATTAAAGATGAATTAGAAGAAATAGATTTGAATCTTTTTGTAATAATATAGAAAATATAAATATATTGTAGACAGTTAATTTTTATTATTTTCTTTTTCTTTATTTTCTTTATAACTTATTATTATTATTATATTATTTTATTTATTATTATCTTTTATATA